GGAATTAACACCTTGTGTAAATATCTTATTGTCTAGAAGGGTAGAGAATCTTTTTAATTTGGGGTTCATCTATGGGTTAGAGGATCTTTTCTCCTCCTCATTGTATAGGCTTTGAACTTTAAAACTGGAACTGACCTTTTAGAACCACGCCCCTTATTTTATAGAAGAGAAAACAAAGGCTCAGAGTTGTTTACTCACTTATCCAAGGTCACACAGCTTGCTAGTGGGGAGACCACACTTGAACACAAGGCTTCTTACTAGTTAAGTGGCAAAGTGACAACCTTCTCTTTTTAAGTCAGAGAAAGAGCTTTTTCTTTTCCTTGCTACTAACGATTAAATAAAAACAATACTGTGGAAAAAAGGAACAGGATGGGATTAGGCTGTGGATAAAGAATAAATTATAAAGTAAATAAAGTATATTATTTTCAGGGGAAATGAGAGTGACTGCTTTTCTCTACCAAGTGCCCTTAGGTATATACATGAAATCGATGTCTTCTAATTCTTCTATTCTTTCTCTTTTCCTTGGCATTTTAAAGTAGTTAAGAGTGGGGAGGGTATAGCTCAAGGGGCAGAGTGCATGCTGAGCATGCACGAGGTTCTGGGTTCAATCCACAGTACTTCTTCTAAAAATAAATAAACCTAATTAATCCCCACCCCCCCCAAAATTAATTAAAAAACATTTTTTTTAAAGTAACAAGGGAACTGAGATCGGTTCAGTGGGTTTCAGACCCTGTTCCAAGAAGCCCCAGTATTCTTACAGAGAAGCCCCCTTGGTGGGGGGACTTGGAGACAGAGACACTGTACTGATTCTGGTTCCCCCTATCCCTACACCCAAGAAGAGCTCCACTCTTAGCTGCTTTGCACATTGGAGTTCTGCGTAGAGTTTTGGTCAAGGAAAATAACAAACACCTTTAAAAAGAACTTTGAAAACGACACACTTCGTTCAGCCCCCTCACAGAATTACAGTCGAGGAAGGTCACAAGGAGTTAAGCATACATGTGCTGCCTCCCCTCTTCTTGCTAATGTCAGCCCCCCTCCCCTCCTAGTAATCTGGTCCCCTCACCCCAGACCCACCTTTGACAACAATCTGACTCACTAATCCCAAATCCAGCCAGCCTAAATTCCCCTGTTTTTGCCAAGGACTTTTTCCTTCAGTTCAGCTAAACCAAGTGATCTGATTATTCTACTGTGGGACAGCCCGCAGGCTGTTGCCTGGTGTCACTGGCGTCTCTGGTGGCCATCGTGAAGTAAGCCACTGTAATCTGATTATTTAAAAGTCTTGGCTGTACAGTGTTCCTTTAAAACAAATCCAAGTGAATTTCCCTAGGAAACAGACCAGATTTTTTAAAAGATCTTCTTTTAATCCTTAATAAATATGTCCTAAAAATCAAGTATTACCGAGGAACCAGTGCTCCATCTTAAATTGGGTTCCGTAGGAGGCTGAGTTCCTTCTGAAGCTGGCAGAGGGCCTTAGAATTGTAAGTCAATGGGTACAAAATCCCTGTATCTGATCCAGGGCCAGGTTACCCCCAGGCAGCATCAGATGGTACTTAGGTCATCAGCCAACAAGGGCACCAGAGACAAACAAAGAGAGAGACAAAGAGGAAGATACGGATGTCAGAAATAATCTGACCTTTGATGTGTCAAATAAAAACACCTTAGTAGTCATTGCAGCGGGGAAAGAAAATCAGACCTTTGTGACTTTAGAACTTAGTATTCCCTTGATTTCGAATTACATCTGGGGATCACTTGCATCCTTTCATCCCTGGGCCTCTGAGGTCTTTATCTGGCCTGACCTGGCCCATCCCATTGGCTTCCCTCCCAGATGTAGGAGAAAACTTCTCTGAACAGTCCAGGCCTGGATTTGCCTACTTCTCTTTGGAAAACGAGTTTGCCCCAGGTGAAAGGTATTCACAAAATAGTTAAAGAAAGAAGTCTCTTGTCGACTTGCCAAACAGGCTCAGTAGCTGCAACTTCACAGGGTCAACCTCCCTTTTCTGTGTGGAGATTGGCCTAAAGGGGTTTGCCCTTGAGTTCAACTCCCTTTTGGCTGGACCGGACTCCTCTGAAACAGGACAGAGAGCATTTATGCGGTTCCTTTAGGAACACAATAAAGACCTCCCAAACCACGGATGGTGTAGCTCTTCAGAAGAAAGTCTAGCTCATTTCTCCTGGCGGTGTGTTTGCATTTAAGAAATGAAGGGTCCCCAAACCTGGAAATGAAAGATCCATTATCAAGAGGAGCCGAGGAGTAAGCGTGTTTTCCTTACAATTGTTACCGATGATAGATTTCAAGAATTCAATTCTCTCCAAGAAAAGCAGAGATGGAAATTCTAGTATTTATCTTGGTGGATAGATGTCTTGTGCAAATGATGTGTGATATTTTATGAGAGGGTGTGAAAGCGTGTACCGGACTGAAGTGTGAGTTTCTAATATGTCTGTGTACTGGATGTATGTTCCATATCTACGTTTGTATGTGTTTCTGAGTGTGAGTGCCAGCCAAACAAGAACGTGAGTTTATAAATGTTTGGATATTGAGAAGGTTAACTACATGCAAACAAAGCAGATGTTTTAATGAGTTCTTAAATATTTTAGTAAGTGCCTTGATTTTCCTCAGATAAAGAAAGAACAGGAGAAAAGGAAACGAGTTACTCCTTTTTTTCTTCAGTTAAGTAAGTTTTAACAGCAGAAAATGCAGACTGTTGGCGATGAGATATAGATAGTTTAACTTTTTTTTTAAGTTGGGAAATGATTACTCCGAGCAGTGAGGGTGAGAAATGAAACCTTTCTATGAGGAACTTTCCTGTCTTTATTGCTGAGCATGTGTGCCTGGTCTAACTGCTAAAAGCTTTAACTTGGGGGGCAGGGAAATTCGGGAGAGAAGTTCTTCTTTCAAGAGTAATGGGAGCGAAGCAGGGAAGGATGAAGAAAAGAGGGAGAGAGTTTGGGTGATGTGGTTACTACACTGGAGCTCAGCTCGGATTCCCTCCGATGAGTTCCAAGGTGAAAGTGTGGTTTCCAGTGAGTAGGGGGGCAGGGCTGCAGTTTTCAGCAAGACAGTCAGTAGAGGAGCTGTGCCCAGTAGAAAATTTCCTCTCCTGCCAGCTTGGTAGGAGCAGCGGGTGATCGCAGTTTCCACACCTCCACCTTTACAGAGGGCCACTCTCAGCCCCGTTTCACGTGCATGAGCCACGACCAATGGGCCACAGTCTGACTTGCTGGAAGATGTTGGCTGCCCAGCGTGGCTGAGTGGTGTGGACACCTGGAAAGTCACTGCAGGATGGGCTGCTGAGAACAGGCGGTACCCTGCTCACTGCTGGCCTCATCTCCGTCTGGGCGGGAAGGCTGGGCCCATTGTCCTCCTGACTGGGGTGGGTGCAGGGTCATTAGTTAGAGGATGCTGTGGTCTCTGCTAGCCGGAGGAAATGGCCTGCTTTTGTTTTCCACCCAGTAGGAAATGGAACCTGAATCCATTAGATTCTGGGCAGTTCAACTCGGCACAGTTTGAGCTCTGGGAGGCGCGATGCCTAAAAGGCTAGTTGTGTGGGTTTGTGTACCCCCACCACCATTGTGCAGTGTGCCCATCTTTTATGCATTTAGAGCCTGTCAGGCTGGTAATCTAAAGCAGAGGTCTGGAAGACAGTAATGCCAGCAGACACGGGGAATAGGAGAGTGCACCTGTAGAGTTAAAAAATGCATGACCCTTTCCCTCAAAGAGTGAACACAGGAGAGAGCCCCGTCCTGTAGGGTAGCTGCTGAGATGGAATGCATAATTCACGGGCCCATGCTGCTCCATGCAGATGGCGATATTAAATCGTGATTGATGCTAAGAGAGGCGCACATCTTCGGAAGGTCTCTGAGAGGCTTCTGAATATTTCCAGGTCTCTGGTGCCTTCCCGGCTTCTGTTCTACTGCAGTATTAAGCAAAACCCCCCGTATCCCAGGAATCCCCTCCTGAGGGTGACAACCTCACTCTCAAATACATGAAATGCTTCAAATGTCATCGCCCACCTTTCCTGCCTTTGAAGATCACCCCCTTCCCTCCTGGCCCACAAGAAGCTGTTTACCTCCAGCCGGGCACTGCTGGGCAGGGGGAGGGGGAGGGGCAGCACCCCCCAGCAGCGGCCTTTCCGCTGGCTGGTGCGGCTGGACGAAGCGGCAGCACACTCTGGTGGCGGTGACCAGGCAGGAGGGACCGCGGGCAGAAAGCAGGGAGAAAACACAGGCGTCCACTCAGCACAAAGCACTTTTGTCAGAACTCTGAGGTCAGAGTCAGTGGATTCTCTAATGCAGATTTTTCCACTTGGTGTATAATGAAATAATAAATCAAATTTGTGGTGTATATGAAATTAAGTGTTTGGGAGTTTCGCTTTTTCTTTCTTTAAAAAAAAAAGTTGAAATCACCCTCTAGGGCCTGTTCTGGCCCAAAACTAAAAACGCTTCTTTCGCATCACATGTAATTGTTACCAGGCTCACTGTGGGTCGGCACCACAAAACCACTATTGTCAGTTCCCGGAGTCTTTACTTCTCGCTGCCTGGGCTGGGAGACACCAAATAACATGAAGGATTTATGAGATAAAGACAGAGATGAGAGGTTTGAATGAGAAGGAGATGAGCCAGGCAGGGGAGACAGGAAAAGGCAGGGAGGCATGTTAAGTTTGCAGCTTCCTTGGGGTTTTTTGTTTTGTTTTGTTTTTTTAAATCTCAGACCATGTAATTGGGAATGTTTATGACCATTTTCTGGAGTATTTTCATTTGAGGAGTGTGTGTGTGTGTGTGTGTGTTTGTATGTGTGGTTGGGTGAGTGGTGGGGGCGGGGATGAGCTGAAATAATCTCTTCCACTGAATGAGTAAGTAGGTTAGTCTTCTGGACTGCCATAAAAGGTCTGTAAAACAGTTTTAATCAGCCACTGGTAGAGAAGAGAAACAAGGAGAGGAAAAAAAAAAACCCAGGCTGTAACATATTTGAAGTTCTTTGCTTCGTGTGTCTTCTTTTCCAGACCCACCCTGTGGAGGTCGTTTGAATTCCAAAGATGCTGGCTACATCACCTCCCCGGGTTACCCCCAGGATTATCCATCCCACCAGAACTGCGAGTGGATTGTTTACGCCCCCGAACCCAACCAGAAGATTGTCCTCAACTTCAACCCTCACTTTGAAATCGAAAAGCATGACTGCAAGTAAGCGCCATCCTGTACGGCTGACATCCACGAGACACACCCTCCCGCCCCCGCCCCCCCTGCCCCCGCCGAGTAATGGCAGCTCCCCGACCCCAGAAGCTACTGTGGTGGGGCCTGGCCCCTGAGGGAGACCTCAAGAGGTTTATTTCTTTCAGGGGAACTAAAAGCCTAGTTGATCCCCTAGTATGAAGGAAAGCACCTTCTTGAGTGAAGAGTAAAGAGAATACACCCTAAACTCAAAGGCCAGCATGGAGGAGAATTCCACGTGGGGGAGGGGGTGGACTGCACAACGCCAGCTCTTGACTTGGGGATTTACTTCCCCCTGGGAGGTCTCCCCATGTCCACCATCACTACCACATGTAGGAACCCCAGCGGCTTCCTTAATAAAATAGTAGCCAGTTCCCCAAGTGGAGACTTCCTCTGCATCCAGCCGTGGAGGATCAGGCTGTTATTTTGTGAAGTAGCAGCTGGTTTTCTTAAGAAAGAGAATGAAACATCTCAGCCTATACTGGTAGGTCTAAAATTCGCACTGGTGCTTGCTTGGTATTAGTGCTATGCAGGTTAGAGTCTCAAAGCTGGTGTCAGGGATTTATTTACAGTCTTCTAATTGCTTTATGAACATCCATCCATTTGGTTCTCTCAATGGCCCTAGGGAGGTGGCACCATGATGACCTCCATTTTGC